GACCCAGAGTCCTGACCCCCAGCCCTCCTCCCTCAGACCCAGAGTCCTGACCCCCAGCCCTCCTCCCTCAGACCCAGAGTCCTGACCCCAGCCCTCCTCCCTCGGACCCTCCTCCCTCACAGGTGTCCCAGCCCTTTGGTGAGTTAGATCTCTGGGACATAGTCCCTCAAAGCTACAGGATTCTAGCACCTTCTACATACGCCTTATCCCTCTGGAGACAGTGAGGCAGAAGGACTTCTTGAAGGAAGAGGGTGCACCCCAGGTGTCCCCACACAATCCTCCCACTAACCCTGGATCAGGGTGTGGTGGGGAACAGGCATGGCCGATGTGCGCACGAGGACACTGAGAACCAGTGGGGACCTGGCTGGGCCCAGTCCCATGAGGACAGGGCTGATGCCGCCCACCTGGCCCCACAGGTGTTCAATGCAGGAGTGTGAGCCAGCCCCTCCACGAAGCGGGACCCCCCAGGGCCCTGGTCCGGCGTACCCAGCGTGGCGGCGTGGTGCTTGGGGCTGTTGACGCTGAGGTGCAGGTAGTTGTGGTGCAGGTTATCTGTGAGGCCGAGAAGGGAGGTAGCATCACACCCAGGCCACTGGGCACATGGGAGAGACTGAGGCTGGGGGACTTGAAGGTGGAGAGCGTGAGTGCTGTTCATGGCTGTGAGAAGTGGGCTCATCCGTACTGGCGCTGTCCACCTCCCCATCACACCCATGGGGGTCCCAGCTCTGATTCTCTGCCCCAGCTCATCGTCCACATCCCCCCCCCATCATCATCATCATCATCATTGTCATCAACAGCAGCAGCAGCATCTTCCTCCTGCCTTATCCAGCCTCTAGTCACCCAGCCCCACAGCTGCCCCTGCCCCCTGCTCGGCTCTTTCCCTGTGGTTCCCCTCCAGCCACAGGACAATGTCCATGTTGAGAATGGCACCGGGAGGCTGCATGGCCAGCTGCCCTGTGCAGCCAGAACCACTCCTCAGCTGTGACAGGTGGGGTGCACACCCTGGGCTCCACTGAGCAGTTCCATCAATCACTGTAGTCTCCTTTGCCAGCAGTGAGATTCTGAGGTTGATGCAGTCTCATCTCCCGTCCCTCCCCTCAACCTCCCTTCTCATCCCCAAAGGATCCAAGGCTAGTCCTACCACAGGGCCTTTGCATATGCTGTTATGCCCTTCTATCTGCCTTGAATCCCTTCCTCCCTGTCTCTCTCTGCCTTACAAACTCCTTCTCATTTCTCAATGTTCAGATCTAAATCATTATGGTCCCCGAGACGCACACCCAGGTCATCTATCCAGGGGGGTAGTGAGGGAGACTGCCTCGCCACAAAGCCCCACGCTGCCCAGACCGTGGGTGGCAGTGGCTACGTGGAGAAATAGTTCAGGAGAGGGCTGAGGGTAGGCCCAGGGGCGTGGGAGGAGACCACTCACCAAGATTGGAGGACTTCACGCTGTTGTAAAGATTTTTGGGTGTCCTTGGTCCCATGCTGTCGGGACCCCCAACCCCAGGGGTCAGAGAGCTGCTTCTGGCCCGGTCTGGGCGGGTCCCAGGCCCTGACTGGTGCCTCAGAATGTCCACCAGCGCCCTGGAGGTGGCAGAAGTTCTGGTCAGGAAACAAGGAAGGGAGCTGAAGGTCTGTCTCTTGCTCCATCCAGCGTGCTCTCAGGGTGAAGGGAATCTGTGAGCATCTCCCTGACCACGCCCACGTACATCAGGCCATGCCCACCCACAATGGACACGCCCCTCTTGATATACTAGCCAAGCCACGCCCACTCAAGGTGGGCTCCAGCCTGCTCTCAGGGTGGAGCGAATCTGTCAGCATCCCCGACCACGCCCACACACCACGGAACACGCCCACCACACATGGACACGCCTATCCTCTTGAGCTATTCGCCAAACTGCATCCCTCTCCCTACTGGCCACGCCCCTCAAGGTCGCCTGCTCCAGCCTGCTCTCAGGAGGGAGGGAATCTTGTCTCCCTGACCACGCCTACACACCACAGGCCACGCCCACCACACATGGACACGCCTCTCGAGCTGCTCGCGAAGCCACGCCCCTCTCCCTCCTAGCCACGCCCCCTCCCCTGGACTACTCAAGTACCAGACCCCTCTCCCACTAATCCTACGCTTCATCAACCACGTCCCATTACATGCTAGCTGGCTGCGTCCGCCTACATCAGTCCTACAGAGCTCTAGAAAAATAGAAAGAAAAGCTCTGGTGGTCGAGTGGCGCTGTCAACCCAAAGGCAGAAGTTTCGAATTCATTAGCTTCTCTGAGGGAGAAAGATGGGCAGTCTTCCTCTTGTGGGATTTACAGCCCTGTTCTGACACAGTGGCACATAACAACAACATGCGTCAAATTGACGTTGGACAGTCTGATCTGATGGCGCCTAAGAACAGCAGCGTGTGAGCTGATAGTGACTTATGTGACAGCAGCCTTCCCCCCACCCCCACCCCACAGGCTTAACCATGTGCCAGTCCCACTGAAGACGCAGCATGAAGTAAGTGGTTGGCTGCTAAGCGGGGTTTTGGCAGTTGAAACCCATCTGGGGGGTCCAAAGGAAAGACCTGGGGGATTCTGGTCTGTAAAGACTGTCTGTGTTAGATCAGGGCCTGGAACCCTGGGGTGGGCTGCTCTCACATGCTCGCTAGGATTCAGTGGAGTTCATCTTCATTCACTAAAGTCCACTTGGCTGTTCGTATTACTGTTTTACAGATGGACACAGAACACTTAAGCAACACGCCCAGTGTCATCCAGCCCCAAGGCAGCTGAGCTGGGATTGAAATATCCTGTCCCCCTGAGCAGGGACCTTGTGTTGTCGCCGCCCCCCGCCCCCCCCCCGCGCCCCAGCTGTATCCCCAGCTCCTAGTTCACAGAAAGCCAAAAAGCCCAGATGTTCAGCTGCCGAGTTCATAGCTGAATCAACACATAAACAGCTCAGCAGGTTCAAACAGCTGACCCTGCCATCACTAGCCCAAAGCTAAACCCATTGCACCACCAGAGCCCTCAGAACGCGCTCAGAAACAGAGGCCAGAGGCGGCTCGCCTTCCGCCCCTGCGTTCCCTCCCATGTGTGTGCCCCTCTTTTTCTGGCCTCGCCCCTCCTCCCTGTAGCCCCGCCCTCCCCTGCTGCCTCTACCTCCCCCACACACACCGGCCTCGGCCCCTCCCTCTTCCCTCTCCTCCCCTCCAGCCCGGGGCTCCACTCACCTGGGCACGTTGATCTCGCGGTGCGCCCTGGGCGCACCCGACGCCTTGCTGAAGGCCACTTTGGCGCCGACGCCCACGGCCAGGGCGAAGCTGATGACTCCGCACACCACATAGGCCGTGCTACCCCCGGGGCCCTCGCCTCCGCGCCCTCCGGCACCCCCTGCCCGGCCCCCTTCCAGCCACCCAGCCTGGCCGGGCCCGAGCCCCCCGCCCGCGCCCCCTGCGCCCCCCGCGCCCCCGGCCAGAGGCGGCGGCGTGGTGGCCCAGCGCGGCGTGTCGTAGTTGGAGCACGAGGCCTGCGCCAGGCGCATGTGGCGGTGCTCGCAGCAGAAGCGGTAGTGGCAGGTGCCGCAGCAGAAGCGGTAGGAGCCGGTGCTGCAGTTGAAGGTGGCGTCGTACTGGCCCATGACGTCGTAGTAGCCGTGGCACAGCTCTGCTGGCGGGGGCGCCCGTGCCGCCGCGCCCGCGGGGCTGCCCTTGG